TGCTTTGAATTTTTATGGATTTTTGCATTTAGCAGTTGATGAACACTTAATTCGAAGCTTGAATCGACTGCACAGTTATTAGCTTTTCCAGTTGCTTTGACCAGCGCTGCATTCCTCCTGGCAATCGTCAAGTTCGTTTCATCTTGTGAAGAGATCACCAGCTCAGTAGCTCTTCGGACAGATGCATTTAACGAGGCTTTAGCTGTTGTGTGTTTTGAGTATTACCATCTCGTCCCGGACGTTGCCACTTCTGGTCTGCGACGAGGTTCCATACCGGCCAGGAGCATTTTTTAAAATACTTATACTGGCAAGTGTAACAATTTAGCTGAAGGTGATGGCTTCAAATTAGCAATGAACATTTTGAATAACGGACGATTTGGAATACCTGCTGCCTGCACCGGTTCTATGGTTTACTGTATTCACAAAACCGTGAGTCTTCTTGAATCTACTATTCATATCTGAATCAGTGTGATCAAGATTTAAAGCTATGAAATGGAATGCTGAGCTTAGGAGTTAAATTAGCGGTCGTTCCTCGTGAATAAATTGGCAGTATACGCTTGTTCGCGATTGGGCCCGAAGTATTTGTATGCCCAAAAGTTTTCTTTGATAAGGTTCTGGAATCTTCAGTTTTGCAGTCGCTGCGCAAACTTAAAAATCCCTGTTTTAAATTATCGGAAAACAAAACCCCCTTTTGCTGATGGAAACACTTTGAAGTAGACTGAACAACAGCAACATCCTCCGTCATCCTCTGGCGATAGTTTTTCTTCGGAAGGTTGTTTATAAGTGGAGTGACGGTGATTTTCGATTTTCAAATTATAAGTTCTAGAGAACTAAATCTAGAAAACTCGGATTTTAATCTGCAATCTGATGCATAGATGCAGTCCTTTCTTAAATCTTGAAAACAAAATAAGAGATTGAACTGATGGTTTGGGAGAAGTAATTTCTAGTGTCGCTTTCATCATCACGCTTTTTATGAATGGTATATTTATATTTTTATCGATTTCCCATTTATACATACTCTCTTTTCAAACATTCCACGCTGTAATTAGTTGATCCGTTATTTATTTTTTTGATTTTGTTTACATTTTAAAGATTGTTCGTATGTTGTGAATGAAGGAAACTGGAATATTATTGATAATAACGGTAATAATAACAGTTGTTTTATTGTTATTATTATTATGTATATAGCAGTACTGGTAGTAGCGATAGTAATGATAACAGCAAGTAGTAATAATGAACACTAATAAATAATAATGATAATGAATAACAATAATAATAGTAATAAACAGTCACAACAATATGATAACGGCAGAAGTTTTTTTGAATGTGCATGCAACAAATGGTGTGGGTCCACAGTAAGTAACTTCCTGAAGATCATCATGATCACGCTTTTATGAGTTCTGTTGTAGATTGCACATGTATCCGAACGGGCCCAGTTTGGAAGGAAATTAAAAGAATTCGGAAATGTCCAGGAGCAGTTGATCGATATGGTTCTACGCCACTACGCTACTGAAGTGAGCACAGTTTGCAGATTTTTTTGAGCCACATATGGTTTTGAGTTTAAAAATTTCTTTAAAAAAGGGAGTTAATTTTTTTCCCAGAGTCTCGTCTACATGTTGTCGGGTACAATGGATCGAGGCGTTCAGGACTATCAGCTTGAAGCTGCCGTCGGCAAAATCATGGCTTCTGTATGTTTCTTTTTTTTGCTTTAATGATTTCTCCCGTTTGCAGTATGAAATATTAAAATACGTTTGTTCATCGTGCAGGGCGCATAATACATCGTGAGCCTGATCAAAAAGGCAAAAAACGCAACAAAGAACTAATGCTCCAATTTACAGTGCCTTCAGCACCCTTTTTTTAACGCCTTTGATCACCTACTATTTTATTGCTGTGTTTGTTCTCACCGACAGTGCACTGTGAGCTCCCAAATTCATAATTTTCCACGCTTACAGTGGTCATGGTTTTTGCTACTTTACAGTATCCTATAATTAGCACAATTGTTTTTTTTTTTTTTTTTACTTCAGTAGTGCAGAATTAGTTTATTAGTAAAAAAAAATCGGCTTTACTCACTGTACTCACACTTAATTTGTAGATTTTTGTCTAAGTGCATCAGTTTTAAAGTAAATAACCAACAGAATTGAAGGAGAATGCATGGAACGTCTGTGATCGGGCAATACAGCTGCACGGTGGTATGGGCTACATGAGGGAATGCGGTTTGGAAAGGGTGATGCGCGACTTGAGA